TGTTTAGATAAAGCTATGATTCTTAGAATCATCAGAGTCCCAGAACTGGATGTGTATCCAATATCCACTTCGAAGCTCAACCTGACGTGTTTAGCTGCCGGAAACCCTGCACCAACTGACGAAGATTACAAATGGACCTTTCAACCTTTCCATTCCAACACAACAATAGAAAAGAATTCGAATGGGAAATTTCTTTTATTCCAGAGTCTTCAAGAAGCTGACTCTGGAACATACACCTGTTCTGTCACAAATACTTTAAATTCGACACATTCTTTAAATGTTACAATTATTGTTAATGGAACTATTCCAGAACCAAAACCTTCTTTACACTGTCATTCCAATCCGTGTGGAGCTCTAGAGAATTGTGTGGAAACTGGACATGAGTACAAATGTGAAACCAATACCATGAGTGTTGTTGGAGTCCTGTTTATCGTTTTGACTATAGCGTCCCTATCTGTATCGTTTGGACTTGCATACTACCTGCGTAAACTTCACAAAGTTTCTCAAATTGGCGTTCAGAACAGCAAAATTAGGTATTGCCTATAGAAAACTTCACTAAATTTAAATTATTAACATGCATATACAAGGTTATAATATATTGGTGGTTAAGGAAGAATTTTTGAAACTTACCAATTATGTGTGACCAAAAAATATTTAAACAATAGTATGAAAATCAAATCAAAATCTGGAATAGAATATAATCTTGATTATTAATTCTTACTATTATTGACTTGTAAATTATTTTACTGTCATATTTCTAATTCTTGGAAATTTTAACTTTGAACATCTCTTTTTTTCTAAATATCCTCACTTAATTAGAGTTGCACCTTCATGCTTTTTATATGATTATACAAGATAATTGTTTTATTTTAACAGCAATGATAACGCCACCACACTCCCAATGACAGAAACAACGGGTGACCTAAATACACGCAATGGAACTGTTCCCTCCAACGAGACAAACGACGCTGTTTATGCTCAAATAAAAAAACCGTAATCCTTACTACCAGAAAGTAACCTACCTTCATTGACTGATTCATTAATAAAAAAAATTATACTAAAGCTAACATTTCCTTTCATCGTGTATTATTTCAAAATGATTCTAAGAGTATAAGAAAAAAAAATTAGCCTTTCTCTAAAAATATTTTCATACAATCTGTGTGACACTGCGTAGTACTTTTTACATGTGATGTATATAATTCTATAATTGTAAAATATAACATACATGTATTCCATGATAATATATATTTAATATATACGATTCCTTTTCAATTTATAATGATTTTTGTTTTTAAAAAGTCAATGACGATTTTTCCCCATGTTGTTGATCTTTTCAAACGCATCATTTATTTACTTATTTCATCTGCCATTAAGTATACGACACATGCATTTAATTTTATATCTTTTTTACATTGTAACTTTCTTTTTCTTTAAGTTATATCTATAGATATGGAATCTCTTCATCTTCATTCTGTACCATTTTTACTATATATAATTCAGTAGATAATTGGCTCTGAAAACATCACAAGACGTATACTGGACAGACATTTCTGTATAACTGAGCCGTTTTGAGTACTTCAGTTTTTATGCAATGAAGGTACATTGTACTCTGGCTCGGATTTAGATTGAAATAAATTGTTTTTTCTTCTACCTCGAATGTTTCATTTTTAGTAACACTTAGATTAAGTATAAAAAGTCAAAATTCTCTGAGCTATTGAAATAAAAATGAAATCTTTTATGATTCAATAATTTTTTTAATACAGCATGGAAGAGACAAGCAAAGAAACAAAATTTACAATAGGTCAGAGGGCAAAACAACGAAATTTGATGAATAGTTACTGTTTAAAATAGGCGCTTAAGCTGCTTGGTTCCTCTCATCAAAAGAGTCGAGAATTTTAGAATCTACGTACATAGCTTAATAATAAATCAAAACAAAAAAATGGATGTAAGTGCCCTTCCATTCGGAGCAATTAATATTACGTTTTTGCACTGTAAATACATTTCACACATAAATCAGGTTTAAAAGTTTTTCCTTTTAAAATATTTTTATCTAAATGAATTATTGGATCAAATAAAGTCTTTTTTTTCATCTTAAATAGTCACATTCAAAATTGCGACAACTAAATAAGTTTAATTTACTGCGCATAGTCAAATATTTGAACTTTCTGCACTCAAAAATTTTATTTCTCTGTTGTTAAAAAAATTAAATCAATAAAATCTCTTGAAAGAAATGACATTTTCTGAATTTAGACAGAATGGTTAAAATTATCATATACATTCAGAAAATGAAATAAAAATTGGGGGTATGTGATGTTAGTGATCATCCCTTGCCAACTGGTCACACTCGCCGTGCATGTGCTTTGTCATGATAGTGAAATAACGGAAATACATGTATCTGTTGACAATTCAGTGTAAAAATAGTGGCCCAACAATTAGTATGAAAAACAACAGTCAGCATTTGACTTTATGATAAATTGTACTTGCTTATAGGGCATTGTATCGACCATAGAACTTAGGAAATGATGACTTAAAACGAGAATGCTGATATGTATGTGTGTATTCAAAGGAGTGCAATTACAAGCGGAACAGAAGGTCTCAAAGATTTTTTTAAATGAACACAGATTCATTTTTTTTAATTAACCATGAGTTCATAGAACTTTAAAAGTTTAATCTTCTTCAGTAACTACTATGTGATTTCCCCCTTAATTTTTGAATTAAAAAACCTGTATATTTCAAAATGTATAGTGGTATTCGTCATCTATTTTTCCATTAGAAAATATTAAGCATGTTTTATTTGGCGTGGTGCCACACCATTTTCCTGTTTCTGAGGGTAGATGATGATTTGAAGTACGCTTCTCCATCAAAACCTTTACACATAATAATTATGTATAATTATGCTATGGATGTGATTTGAAGAAAAATGTAAATCTTTAGTTTTACGAACAGATAATAATACCTATTAATTCCATTTATAAACTTTAAAATACACCGGTATGTATAATAGATGCATTCAAAAACCAGAAAGTATTTTACGAGATACTCTAGAGTCAGGACCATTATCATTTTGTTAATTAAAGAAACTTTTACCAGATATGAGAGACTTGAATAGTAAGAAAATTGAAGGAATTGAAAAATATTTTATGTAGCGAAGGAAACATTCTTAACTGCACATGACAAAATGTTTACATTTCCTAGTTATCATCATTACTTGTTATATTTGGTGGTATTTCAAAGACAAAGGGTCGAAATTCCATATATTATTCATTAACAGAACATTGAAATAGATATGGTTCTGTATGTCCAACAAGAAAATTCCAAAAGTGTTTTGATTATTATCAACGATATTTGATAAGGAGAAGTTGCCATGTGAATAATGCAAATTTTCAAACACGCAGCTCAATATATTCTCATTTGTTTATCCGAAAATTTGCTTAATCAGTTCTATTAAAACGATGCCCGGTAAAACGTTGACAAAGTGTTTTCCTCGAAAAAAAATAAGCGCACTTTACTGAAATTCTCAGCAAATGTTTATTTATCATATTGATCATGAAGTGGATCTTTTCTATATATAAAAAATAGACAAAAATTAAAGATTTTCTTAATATGCTTGAATACGCACAGGATACAGTCCTACGACGCACGATGAAAAAAAAATGGGTTTCCTTAGAGAATACACGAGTTTCATTTAGAAATAAAAAGTAGTTAAAGGATAAGATTCAGATAAAAATTATCGTACTTTTAATTTATTATCTAGTGTGTCGTCTTTTGAAATTTTCAGGCATTTGCTTAATTTTTGGCATTTTCCCGAGCATTCGAAGTGGAAAACTGGTAAACACAACACGTGATAAGGGCAACGTTTGACGGCGCATCGGAGAGCAGTTCAGTTTGATTTAGATGTCCAATGAATACAAATCTAGCAAAAAAAAAAATAAGAATATCACCAATATCCTATCCCTGATGTTTTTAAACGTCCATATTAACACTTTTTCCGATTTTTAATGTTTCTGAGGACTTTGGATTGATTAATGTTTGTTGTTTAAATATTTCACTCAGGTACTTACACCAAGTAAATCGAAGATAAGCGAATCTGACACAAAAATAACAAGATCTCTGCTATAACAACGTATTTTTTTCAATTTGCTTTCAAAATTCAATCATAGATAATTACCTACTATTGTGATATTTTGAGCGTTTTTTGCACTGGTATTACAATTTATAAAATTGGTAGAAAAAATTAAACACAATGGAGATAACGAACAGTATTCAAGATCAAAAGTCCATAAAACAATATAAAATAGGAGCAGAGCAAACAAGGACATCCAAAACATCAGAGGTGGGAGCAGGTACCATGGAGGAGTGAGTAACCCTTTTGGACATACTTTCCGTGTGCTACATGAACTTGTCATGTTTGAAAAAAAACCTGGAAAATCCGTCGTAAATTCAGTATATAAAAAACAGACTTACAACTGCATGTACTACGTCAGTCAGCAAAAACGTCAGTGAGTGTTTGACTCAACGATAAATTGTATTTGCTGTCAAGTCCGTTGAATCGACCGTAGCATTTACAAAATGATGACTTTAAACGAGACTGCTGATTTTCTTGTTTCATCAACATGCTTGTCAATAATTTACCTCGTTTCATAAACTGTCCAACCCCGTGGGGATCCGGTAAGAATAGGTCCTCAGTACCCCCTTGCTTGTGGTAAAAGGCGACTAAATGGGGCGGTCCTTCGGATTAGACCGTATAAACCGAGGTCCCGTGTCACAGCAGGTGTGGCATGATAAAGATCCCTCCCTGCTCAAAGGTCGTAAGTGCCGAGCATAGGCCTAAAATTGCAGCCCTTCACCGGCAATGGTGACGTCTCCATATCAGTGAAATACTGTGGTTTCATTAATATTCGTTGAGCACAAATTTTCGAGGATTTCGTTGTTGAGCAGATTCACGAATTTAAATGTTCATTGAATTAAGAAATATGCTATATATTTGTATAGGCAATTCTTTTATCCACGAAATTACGTGTCCTCAAAAGCGTCCTTTTTATAAAATCCACGAAAATTGATGAAACCACAGTATTCTGGAGAAAGACGTTAAACAGTGTACAATCAATCATAAACTGTCCCTACGTAGAGCATGCTCTTGCGTATCGAATCAACTGAGATATTTAAAATCTGAATGCAGGTGATGAAGGTATATTGCTGCATAAGTAAGGGAAATTGACGATGGAAAAATTAAAGTCATCACGTTTATCATGATGCTTTGTTGTTAGATTACCATTAACATCTTAATTTTCAAGTAAAATATCAAAAACGAAACAGATGTGTCAGACTATGTTGTGTCTTTTATCTCAAGCTCACCAGGATATATCGTATCGACGTAAAAATTAAAATTACCATTGTTAATTGACAATACGTCGTCGATATATCTAAATGTAGAGTTGAAAGCCACATCAAGTGTTTTCTTCTTTTCACGCATTAAATTTTACACAAATTCTGCTTTATATGAACATAAAAATAGGTCTGATAATGACGGGGCGCAATTGGTACCCATAAGAATTCCAATAGATTGTTGAAGGACCTAGTCTCCAAAAACAACATAGATATTGTCAATCAAAAACTCAGGCATCATTTTGATGTCGACTTCAACGTACTTGTTTGTACAATCAGAAAGCTTTTCAACAAAATAAATCTGCAAATGATCAATGACAAGGTACGTAAATTTACGAGTTCCATTTTATTGAAAAAAGCAGCTCTGAATGATGTCGAAAAGCCTACACTTTAATTTATCGTGAGGAATGGTTGTTTATAACGTTTAAAAGTTACACACCTTCTTGAATTTATTGTTGCACAGTATTCTTCAAGTTTCTCCTTCACTAGTGTTAATATCCTAGCGAGGTGTAAAGAGAGAGGCTTCGTTGAACATTTACCGGAACTAGCTATGTATGTTTGTAAGGATTCTTATGATGTTTCGGAATGCAAAATATATTCTATAAATATTTAAAACTGACAAACAAACAATCCAAAAACTCCAACGATCCCCTGCTTAAAAGTTTTAATTTAACTTAGACAACACACTGTATATGTGTAAAGGTTTTTGAAAATATCACGTTTTTGCACATAAGATAAAT